AGAGAGAGAGAGAGAGAGAGAGAGAGAGAGAGAGAGAGAGAGAGAGAGAGAGAGAGAGTATGAGTAAATATCAAGCATATGCATGCACGTGCACAGAGAGAGAGAGAGAGGGAGGGAGAGAGAGCAAGCAAAATTGGGGTTTTTGTTGAAAAGGGGCCTTGTACGGACTGTGGGACTGGACCCTGGAAGCCGTGAAAGCCATGATATTCCTCACTGGTACCTTAGAATCAACATCCTGTGTGTTTATTTCTTCTTCTTTTTTGAAGGGGTTTTTTTTTTTTTTTTTTTTTTTGCATCTTTTTTATTTGTTGGTGATGGTTGACCTCACTTCGCTACTCATTTAGCATGAATTTTACGTCAATTTGTTGAACTAACAAATTATTAATTATTATTATATTAATTTATTAATTCAACAAGAACGCAAACAACTACACAACTGCATCCTCTGATCAACATATCGCTTCAGCGTTTTCTATTTGTGAAGCTTCTGGAATTTTTCTTTTTTTTAAATCACATTTCCAGGAACCTAGTACTTCTGGCGCATACGCTCAAGCTTTTCATTTCTGATGATTGCTTCTAAAAATAAAACATAAAATAAAAGCAGGTCAAAAATAAAATTAAAAATCAAATAAGTGCCTCTTTTTTTTTTTTTCCACCACAACATCAGTGCACTTTTCACCGCGGCCAATTCCACCTGCGCGCCAAGCTTTGCTGAAATGCCAGCGCGGAGGTTTTTTTTTTTTTTTTTTTTCCCTGGCGCTGCCAGCCATTTTGGTCTGGTAGCACTGTTCATCTGAACTTCTTTCGGGAGGACTCATTTGAGTCATTTCCGATTCTCAAGTTTGCCTGGGCAGAGTGCTTTTGCGGTTTAAGCTTTGCATTTTCCCCCGGGAGTTGCCCCGGGCCGAAACTTAAAACACCCTGATCATGAATGTATACAAGCTATCTTTCTGGTTCCATACGGACACGATGAGGGTGTCTTGTGTTCAGGGGAAAGCAAGGTACCTTCCATAGAACAGGGCAATGACTGACTGACCGACAGGAGTGTAAACGAAAGGAGAGACCATAGCCACGTTAACTTGTACGATGCTTACAACAAAGCACTCCAGTGCTATGTTCATGCTTAGAGAGCATGAACCTGGTCGTAACATTGGTCAGGATGTTGCATTCGTAGAACAAATATTGGAAATACCACTAGTGCGGCTCCTCGTCGAGATTCCATCGCCCAACAAGACAACACCTTACCTGCCCCTCCCAATAAACGCTCGCCGTTGCTGCAATTTCTTCTTTGCTTCTTCTGTTTCTTCAATGTTCCTCAACTTGTACCTGCGCAAACCACCCACACAGAGAGATGAAAGAGAGAGAGAGAGAGAGAAGAGAGAGAGAGAGAGAAGAGAGAGAGAGAGAGAAGAGAGAAGAGAGACAGACAGACAGACAGACAGACAGACAGACAGACAGACAGACGGGCAGACAGAAAAAGACAGACACACACAGAGAGAGAGAGAGAGAGAGAGAGAGAGAGAGAGAGAGAGAGAGAGAGAGAGAGAGAGAGAGAGAGAGAGAGAGAGAGA